GGCTTTCGAGCCTATACAGCTTGGAGTAAGACAACATGCATGAAGAGGATGATGTGGACAAAATACTCATTTGCCTAATAATTCTGCACTCCCTGTATAGACACTCTCTAGTGTTAATTTAACACTGGAGATTTTGCTGTGTAAAGCTCCCCCAAAATAAGGAGAAATATTTTTTTCCCCAAAAATTAAAAAGTCATGCAGTAGAGGGTTTTTATGATACCAGAATAGGGATGATGGAGTAGGTTTAAATTTATTAGATTGATCAGTTTTGCTGAACTATAAAATATTTTGGGTGCAGTGTATTTTTTGCATACGAGTATAACAGAATAACTTTAGTGTTTTGTTTTGTTTTTAAACTTGAGTATGAACTTATACAAAATGCAGCAAGTTATTTATAAAAAACAGTTTTATTGATTACAAGCTACACTATATCTGATTCATATCGGTATCGGCAGATATCCAAATTTATGATATCGGTATCAGACATAAAAAAGTGGTATCGTGCCATCTCTACATAGTATACAAGAACATCTGTGCAGAGTATGGCCTGGAAGTCCTGAGGTCAAAATGGAACACGAGTGATTCAGAAGAGAACAAAGGTTTTAGTGAAACTGAGGCTTGGGGGTTTGGTGAAAGGTTTGGTGAAACGGAGGCAGAGAGTGGTCGAGAAGGACCAAACTAAGATCCTATGGGATTTTCAGATACTGACAAACTGGTGATGGCTAACCAACCAGACAGTGGTGGACAAGAAGAGGAATCAGAGGAAGATGGCTGTCGTGATAAATGTAGCAATACTGAATGATAGCAACATCAGGGAGAAGGAACACAAGAACCTGGGCTGAAATAAAAAGTCAAGAAGGTGTGGAGGGTGAAGGTAACAGTGGTCCTACTGGTAATCAGAGCACTAGGTACAGTGACCCCAAGCTAAAGGAGTGGCTCCAGCAGATCCCAGGAACAACATCGGAGATCTCTGTCCAGAAGAGCGCGATCCTAGGAACAGCTAAGATACTGTGCAGGACCCTCAAACTCACAGGCCTTTTTAAAAAAAAAATTTTTTTTACTGGTGGAATGACAAAGTTTTTTTCTTTTTTTTTTTATGGAATAGTAACAGTGAGCATTCAGCATTTTTGTAGTGTCCCATGTTTGCTTATTTTTTTAAAATGCATTTATTTATCATTTATATATTTGCATGCAGTTGTTTTCAAATGTGTGTTATGTGTTTATGTTATTTCATTTTTATTAATTTATATTTCAGTGCGTTGAAACCTGTGTATTTTTATGTCAGGTCCTTTATTGGTCACTGCCACATGCCAGGCAATTATCAAAGTTTCTTTATTTTCCTGCTCATATTCTTAATTTTTGTGAAATGCTTTGTTTTATTTTGTCAGTAAAATTGGCTTTTGCTTCTGTGTGATGAGTGCAAAAAAAGAATGAAAAGACACTCAAAATAACCAAATTGACTTCTGCTTGGTAATAACTACCTGTCTCCACTCGTATCTCTATTTTGCTGTAATGTTCACTTTCCCTACTACCACCAGTTGGAGGCTTTCTACTCCATCTTCACCACAGAGCAACAAGACCATGTTAAGTCGGTGGAGTATCTGCGCAGCAACTTCAGGCCCATCCAGAGCTTAGATAACCGGCACGTCTTCAAGTCTGCAGTAAAAGATGCCTGGTTGCCTGACCTAAATGACAGCGGCAGCAACCCGTATGGCACAGAGGCTTCCAAAGGTAGGATGTTCACACTTTAAGTATTAATTTTTTGGTTTTTTTTATATTACCTATTCCAGAGGTGGGACCAAGTCATTGTTTTGCAAGTCTCAAGTAAGTCTCAAGTCTTTATCCTCAAGTCTCAAGTCAAGTCTCAAGTAAGTCTCAAGTCTTTATCCTCAAGTCTCAAGTCAAGTCTCAAGTAATGTCAGGCAAGTCAGAGTCGAGTCTCAAGTCACTGGTGTAAAAGTCCGAGTAAAGTCACAAGTCTGAAATTTTGAATTTCAAGTCTTTTCGAGTCTTTAAAAAAAAAAAACGAAAAAAGAAGGTTGCAGTTATGCTAAATGTAAATATTGGACCATGTAATTTTTAAATCGGTGTTTTTCTCAACGCATGACAAAATAGTGAACTTGCAGCTCAATTAAACTTAGCTCCAAGAATAATTTTCACCGACAGTTCTGAGATAAGCTGCATGTTATTCTTGGATGCGGTTGTAGGACCGGTGTTGTGCCAAAAAGTGATTGTCTGCCAAAAACTGATTTCCGGTATTTGCCAAAATTGATTGCTCGTATTTAAACTGCTATAAGTAACTTGTTGGGCTATAATAT